TTCGCGCCGTTAAACAGAATTCTCTCGCCATTCGAAGAATCTTTTACTGCCCTTTATATCCAATGGCGAATCGGGGGTGGGGATGGGGGCAAACAGAAACAAGTCATAGCTAACTGCAACTACAGACATATAGTTTAAACACCACTCTTTGGAGTAATTGTTGCAGTAAAATTGTTACCATAATACCATAGATTTAACCTGTGTGCAAAACGCACAGTAGAAACCCGAAGTGATATTCATTTGATTTCATAGACCTTTACATCTTTAATGAGAGAAAAACATCTGAATCTTAAGGTCAAGTAAAAAAACAAACAAAATCGATATTTTTCAAAAGGAAGTTGTCTGAATAACCGTGTGTGAAGTGATTTTGTTAAAGGTAGGCTCTTCATAATTAATTGTTCATGAACTAGTTCATACTGGGCGGATAAATTGTTATTCCTCTCGTTTTCACGAAGGTTATAGCCTCGCGATCAAATGCACACTTGAATGCAAACCTGTTTATCTCGACCAAATGCACTGGAGACCTTGACACAATTAAAGAGGTCAAAGTCACCGATAAAAGCCTGGGAAGGAAAAAGTGTTTATATAAGATATATATACACAGTAGGCCTTATATATAGGACTATATATATATATGTTCTCCACAATGTTATCTTTTTATCAGTTTGACTGCATCTTGTGGTTAATGTAAATCAGATCGGCGACAAAAGCTGCAGCCATGGACCAGCATCCAGTTAGGGAGCGCGTGCAGTGTCTGCCGATATGTGTGACAATGCATGACTATTTCGACAAAATGGCGAAGAAGTCCCCCGATCAAGACGCATGCGTTGTCTATCATTCTCAAGACGACCGACAGTTTTTGACGTTCTCAGGTCTGCGTGATCGATCGTTAAATTTGGCCAAACACTTGATCAGTAAAGGGATTGGAAAAGGCGATATAATTGGTCTTCTGTCTACGAATTGCACAGAGTTCTTCGTTGCTTTTCTAGCCTTGTCTCGGATAGGAGCACCAATACTGCTCTTGCGATATGGCAGCACGGCTGCAGAGGTCTGCATGCTGTTGACCAAGAACAATAGCAGGGGATTGCTGGGCAGTGCGCACTGTGAAAAGGACGTCACCATAGTTAACACTATTAAGACCCTCATGGTAGATGAAAGGAAGAATACGGCGGAGAAAAGACCATTTATGGTCATGGGAATGGGCCCTCGTGATAAAGAAGTGCACGTGTCCGGCAAGGCGAAAATATCTGACCACCTTAGCCAGGTAAACATCCCAGATGTGGGCCCCGATGACGACTGCGTAATATTCTTTACCTCTGGCAGTTCCGGGGAGCCCAAACCTATCCCATGCAGTCATCGGACACTGATAGCAAGGACTCGTTCTTGGGGCGAATTCGCCTTTTCAGGGCCAGATACAGCGGGCACAAGATTCTTCAATGACCGCCCGTTGGCGTGGACCGGGGGATTCCACATGATACTTAATATGTGTGTATTTGGTGCATGCTCAGTCACTATGACAACCGACTTTGTCATGCATCGTGGTGCTATCGAGTTCGTTATGGCTATCTTAAATGAGGAGAAGTGTACGCACGCTTTTCTAATGAATTACCAACTCGTCGACTTAATGCACCGTGGAGACACGTGCCTCCCTCTTTGTTACCTTAAATACGTGGTGACAGTCGGACAAAAGACAGATCGCTTGGCAATAGAGCACGTGCTCGTGTCTTTTCCTGGCATTTCATTCTTGTACCATTATGGTCTCAGTGAGAACGGCTTTGCCATGTACCAGCGTCATACCGACACAACGACATTACTCGACGAAGGTTTCAGCATCCACGATGGAATCGAGATCAAGCTTATCGACTCAGGTGGCGAGACCGTGGAGACCGGTTCCCCTGGAGAGATATGCATTCGATCGCAAGCTCTATTTCGAGGTTACCTCGGCTGTCCCTCGGCAAACGAAAGAACGTTCCTACCTGGTGGCTGGTTCCGCACCGGAGACATAGCCCTTAGTAGGACAGACGGCAAGGTTGTATTGTTAGGGCGTTCAGACGACATGATCAAAAGGGCGCCCGCACGAAAACGAAGTAGATACTCCAGCGCAGTAGACTACTGCAATCATACTGCAAACATGCTTCAAATCTGCTTCGATGTGGGAGCTAATTAGCATATTTGAAACATGCTTCTATCATGCTGCTAATCTACTGCATTTATGCTCCTCCTCTGTACAACCCTATGTAATTTTTGAAGTAGAATTGCAGTAGGCTATACTGCATTTCTACTGCAAATATGCTCCACACCACTACTGCGTTAATGCTTCTTTGCTACTTCGATACTACTGCATTTTCTTGCGGGCGGGAGTGAAAGTGTTTCCTATGGAAGTAGAAAAAGTTCTGCGTCAACATCCGTGCATCAAAGAGGTAGTGGTGGTTGGGGTACCTGATGAGCGTCTGTTTGAAGATCTCTGTGCGTGTGTTATACCACGTGACTCCAATTTATTTGACGTCAGCAGTTTCAGTCACTGGTGTCAGGAGCGGTTTTCCATCGGACCAGACGGTCGGTCTTTGGCGCCAAGCTATACCCTCGGGTTTGACGAGTATCCACGGACAGACAACGGTAAAACAAGTAGAAAGAGATTGAAAGAAATTGCAACATTACGCCTTCAGAAATGAGCAATTGGAAGAGGGGTGATGTAAGAGCAAGGCTATCTTAAATGGAGCTCCCTCTCTCTCTTCTTTATATCGGCTAACGTTGCTTGGATGACCTCACAAGTAGCTGATTACCACAAGTCAGGTGTACGCGTATTATGTCGAAAGCTAGGCAATAATAGTGATTCTTTTATCTGCAACTTGTCATATTGTAAATTTTATAGTTACTTTCACAGCATTATGGAAGTCATTCTGGCTATGTTATTTCAGCCGAGCTAAAACGAATGCCAAACAAATAGTGGAATGTATTTCCAAAGCTTTTGGCTAAAAGAACAATTCTGTACATGTTTAAAAACACAAACACTTGGATGTAAACGATTTATTTTCAATAGCATCACCTCTTTCCAAGTTTTATATCACTTAAAACGATAATTTGTTATCTAGGTTGGGCCTAATAATAAATATTGCAATTTAATTACGAAAATGCAATCGGAGTCAGTGATCGGCACAAGGTTTAATGCTTGACATCTCTTTAGCAGTATGTTGAAAGTAATTATATTCGTTGGTTTTTACTATCTGTTATTTTCCTGCGATATCAAAATAAGAACGAGTAATCGTCAACTCTTTATCAACTACAGTGCGAAATAGCGAGATAAGAGCTACAACAAATCAATTCGCGCTGCTATACATGTAAACTATTACTATGTCTGCAGCCTGAAAGACACACGTGCAGAATGTTAGCTGTTGTCAGTCAATCCATATTACCTGTGATACGAAAAATAAATAACACATTTACTGGCGACTGAACAATTCTGCTTTACATAAGTATTCAAACACTTGGTATGTAATATGAATAACAAAATACCTGACAAATACAAGGTTAAAGATCGTATTGAGCGAAAATGCCTTCGTCGCAATTTAACTTTGTGTTTTATGCAATGATTGTGAGGGAGCATTGAATTTTTTTAGTTATTTTTTATTTTATTTTATTTTATTTATTTATTTATTGTTTAAAAGATAAACAGTGTTGCATGTCTTTCGAAAATAAGCACTACATGTATCTAAAAAATAAGGCAAAAATACAGCATAATACGGTGCCTTTAGAGCTACGATGTACCTAGAGCCGTGCGGTCTCTAGCATAGTCTCGTGAGAAGTAAGGATGGAGAGACTTGCCAATGTTTCCAGACTATTTCCATTCTCACCTGGCATGATAAACGACTTGTTGTTTTTGGCTCTTACTGGCACCAAAGATGATCGTTTCTTGCTTATTATAAGGCCATTACAACAACATTTTTTCAATCTAATCATAAATGTAACATAAAGCAGGGGTAGCATGAGTGGTGAACAATGCTGTAGCAACACCAGAATATATAAATATGCAACGTCTGAGACTTCTATATACGGCAGCAGTCCCACCAGCAGATATTGAACGGAACAAAACGCGCTCATCAGACACGTGAACCCCAATATTTTTAGGTGCGAGGACGACCTAGATCTTCCTGCAGGGTGATGATATTTGCATGATATGTGGCAGAGAGTTGCAAGTGCTGCCAGGAAGGAGGTCAAAGATATACCAGCAAGCAACAAGTATAATCCGACAAAGTATTGGACATTGGACGCGGGGTGTACATCTGGTACGAAATATAGGCAAAGAGGTGTTTCAGATCTTGACAAAATCTTCATAGCCATCAGTACTGCAAAAGGAAGTGATAAAACGATGAATATTATTACCACAACGACAATCAGAAATGGACTAAGCTGAACCACGCGCCTGTTTTGAAGCACCAAACATGTTAAAAGATGGTACGTCAAGAGGCAAACTAAAAAAACCTGCAGAGTGGCGAAAAGAAAGGAGCAAGTCCCTGCAACAATGCAGGCAGTGCTTTCAGGCCAACTGCCAATGTGCAGAATGAAATCGGTGTACATGTAAATTTCCGCTGAAGCTAAAATCATCAAATAAATAACCACCATCAGGCCGTTCACAGACAAAGTCCTTATCAGCATGATCAGTACTTCTGACAGGCATGTGGTCTCGTTCGTAACTGTAACAAACACATACAGATTGCTTAGGATCATAAGGACACTGGCCGCCCACGAAAGGTAGACCAATGGCTTGGAGGGGATCACGTGTTCACATGAACTTGCACGGCTCTTCATGGGCACACACCTTGCAATACCCACTCTGGCGGCAAGACAGCATACCTTGAGTGAATCAGAAGATATAAAAACTACAGAGGACAGGGATTCAAAAGCAGACTCTGTCAATAACTGATGAAAAGGGTTACCCTCGAGGCGCAAGGTTTGCAAGTTATTCAACCCCCTGAGCGTCCCAGATTCTAACGCAGACATGTTAGTCCTGACCAATAGAAGATGTTCAAGACTCGTTAAGCCAACAAACGCCTCACTTTCTATTCTGGAAACGGCAATGTTGCTAAAGTCTAACTTTCGTAGCCTATGTAGTCCTTCAAATGCTCTAGGCATCACAACAGTGATAAAGTTACCCTGTAAATGAAGTTCTAACAGGTTTCTCAGGCCAAAGAAAGACCTAGTTGAAATCATTGTAATATTATTATAGGAAATATTCAGGTGAAGAAGGTTGGCCAAATTTGCAAATAACTCTTTAGGCAATTTCTGCAAATTGTTAAAAGATATATCTAGCTTGACAAGCATTTTGAACCTTGAGAACGTTTTCTTGTTCAACTGCAAATTATTATGAGCTATAAACAGACCCCTTACGTAATCAGACAGCGTAGGTAGGAGGGTCAGACTTTGATTGACACATTTCAGTATATGACCAGAGTACTGGCACTCATCTGGTAGCTCCACCTTTTTCAGGGAGCACGAAATCTCGTCGTCGGCGTGTAGTGGACAGTCTATCTTCCCGTCACACTCCTCAACCAAATCTATGCAATATGGCATGCTCTTACATTTCAGGGATCCGGGACACGTGTAGTTTGAGCAGAACTTCTCGTCTTGTCCTCCGGGGCAGTCATTTACCCCATTGCAGACTTTTCTACGTGGAATACAATAGGAATCGGGGCACTTGAGTAAGTCCCTCCTAGAACAAGTGGCCTTTTCACACGATTTGAGATGGGTTCCTATCCGAGATGATGCTAGAATTCCATATTCGTTATGGTCAAATACGCAGATGTCCTCGTTGTTTAAGTTCCAATTGGAGACATTGCGGTACGGTGTAAAAGAGACGCTTTCAGCTTCGTCTTCCTGTAAAAGTCCTGGGCAATCTGGGACTTTATCCCGTTGGTTTGAAACTGGTATTAAATCTCCAGAAAAACACTGAAACGAATGTAATGTCGTAAGCCCCACAGAGCAATCCTGTTCATCAGAGCCGTCCAGACAGTGCTTAATTAAATCACACCTATGGTCCATTGGGATACATTGACCATTCTGACATCTGTATTCATCAGGGGAGCACAAGGAGAAAACACAATGAACTTCATCAGACCCTTCCTTACAGTGTGGGAAGAAGTCACAGTAATGGGAGAGCGGGATGCATTTTTCCTCTTCCTCGCACTTGAACGAACTTTCCCCACACAAATCACATTGTGCCTCGTCACTGCCATCAAAACAGTCGACATCCCCGTCACACCGCTGGTCGTTAGAGAGGCAAGTCCCGTCGTCGCACGTGAAATGGAACGCGCGACATGCTGGAGATGTATTTTCTTTTATTACCTCCGAAGTGTTGCACACAACCCACAAGACACCAAATGGAGACAGGTTTATTTGTCCACGTTTAAGGGTAGAGTAAGTCCACCTTTGAATAAATCTATCCTTTCGTATTTGAAAAATGTTTTTCTTTGAATTTTTTTCCATTTCTGAGACAAGGATGATATCGCCTGATGCAATGTTCGTCAATTCAGCGTGGATTGTAAGGAGAGTCATGTCGCGTTCAAGGACCGTTGTCAATGTGGAATTTTTCGTTAGACATGCATCTTCCATTGCTTGCTGGACATCATTCAGTAAGAAACTACAATTGTTTGGTTTACAATGGGTCAACTGGTCTCCAGAATTTGGAAACAATACATTGAAATGAAGACAGGAGTTGCCCAGTGGAAATGTTCCACTAGGACAGTATGGCGGTGTTACAAGTCCAGATGGCTGAGGCTCTGAGACGTTTCGTTCAGCGTGAACCATCTCAGATGCAAGCGTCTTACATATTGCATTTTGTATAGAAAACGGATATTGACAGGGGATCTTAACCCAGTTAGTGCTGTAACGGGAATTTAGAATCAACATGGCCGAGCAAGACTTCGACCTTTCATTTGGCGGGTGCTTAATGTCAAGATCGAGATTGAGGTAATCCTCAGCTGGTATGCGTCTTAGTGACTCTGCGTAATCTAAAAAGCTTGCAGCGAGGCTTCTAGAAAGAGATGGGTTATACCACTCAGCGTATCCTAACGGTGCACCGTCTGTCCACACGTTCTCTATCTGTGGGAAGGAAAAAATGACTTTTATATATTAGTGTCTTCGTTACAAAAAATGAATATAAATCTTTGAACCATGTTATAACTTATCAAGTGATTTATATTTCGTTGCATTATTGTTTTATGTATATTATTTTATTTAGTTGTATTCCCAATATACATGATTCCTTTTTTGTATCTTTTGGCAGAGTGCCTTTACCATGTTTAATTGCACATTGTAGATGGTTTCTGTAAACTCACCTCTTTCCGAATCAATCCAATGTACACCAAATTCCTGCCAGACCGTGTCACTTTGTCAAGCCAGTCAGTGGACAGGCGTGATTTCAAAAAATCCAACTCCAGTGTGCTATGTACCGTTACTAGAGACGCGTTCAGACCCTGACATTGTCGTTGTGCCTGCAGCCAGGTTAACTTTTGAGCTGACGCCAGCAAGGTATAACACTTGCCTTTGAAGTGCACAAAGTTTGTCGGGCAACCTACACCAGGAGTATTTCTCTGGTGACTCAGCATCCTATAGCTGACATGAAAGGGTTTGTAATGTGTCGGTGAGTTATTGGAGTTCGAAAAGTAGCTGAAAACCA